AGAGAGAGAGAGAGAGAGAGAGAGAGAGAGAGAGAGAGAGAGAGAGAGAGAGAGAGAGAGATCGAAACAATCCGTTCCGTTCCTGGCTCCCGCCTGGCTCCTGGCTGGTGCCCGGTGTGCGCGCGACTCGAAGGCGTTCCTGTCACTTTCGCCCCTAAGCCGATTCGACTCTCCCTCTCTCCATGCTCTCCCCAGACCCTGCTCCATGTAAGCCCGCTCACGTGCTGGAGCCGGGCGGAGCCAGGCCGGGGCGTAATGAAGGTGTCAGGGGTGCCAGCCACAGCCCGCCAAACACAAACACACAACACAAAACAGAAAGAGAGAAAAACAAAAGTCACACTGTAAACCCAGCGTTACTTAAAACACACAAGGGAGGGCTTGCGAGCTCACACATACACAAGTGTGTACTCACCATTACCATACACTTTTACTGCCTATCGTTTTCTCACTTTGAATGTGAATTTTTATACCTTACCTTCATCTAGATTCGAACCCGCGACCTGCGTCTTGGAATCTCGGAGCACTGTTAAAAATTACAACAGTAAATCACTACGCTCTAGGCACATCCATTATCGATGTCTAATAGACGTCTATCGCTAAAAAAATCTACAAAAATAGATGAGTTAGAGGAAGCTCGATCATTGAAAGATGTCTATCTTCCGTGTGGGTTACGATTCACATCATGGAAAAATTTCCCGTAAACCTACTACTATTTTACACAGTGGAGCTGATACTTAGCGTTGAGTTCCCGGAGCTCGCTCTCTAGTTTGTGGTCTTCTCCCCACACTCCTACCGCAGCTTCGTCACAAACTCTCCACCCCCCCCCCCTTCCCTCTCACTATAGCTCATGCTCACCATCGATGGGGTCCCTGGAGCGCCTGAAGATCTCGACGAGGATGGACGCGTACGAGAAGATGATGACCGACAGCGGCACGATGTAGATGGCCACGGTGCCGAAGGCCGCGTAGGCGACGGCGGCCTTGGTGGAGGTGAGGGTGCCCTTCGTGATGCACTGCACGTACGTGGGGAACTCGGGGTGCGTCAGCGCCTGGAACACCACGACCTGCAGGGCACGCCCGCCGTTAGAGTGCGCAAATTTATGGCTCATAATGGAAGAGAAGAGAAACACACGTCTTCCGCACTAAAGATCCTCGGGATTGCAAGTCCTCGGGGCGAAAATTTCTCGGGACGAAAAGTACTAGGGACTACGAGTCATTCGGGACCTTACCTGCGGCAGGCTGCATACGATGGCAGCCACCCAGGCGCCGACCAGCATCCAGCGGCCACGTCTGTCCGAGATCTGCATCGGCCTGAGGACTGCAAAGTACCTACAGGGCGAGAGAGAGAGAGAGAGAGCAGAGCAGTGAGAAAGGGGGTAAGAATAGGAAGAAGCGTGCGGGTGTCGCGAGTGGTGAGCCGATCCAGATAAGTTGTTTGGTCCCGCTGGTCCGCCCTCCGGGCGCTCCAGCGGGCTGCCCTCCGGGCCCCTCCGGGCCCCTCCGGGCAGGCCAGTCCCCTCCGAGGGTTGCTCGGGTCCCCTTTCGTGGTGCCGCCCCGTTGACTGAGTCCAACTTTAGCGCGTCGCGAAACACGACAAAGGGACGAGTCGGCGGCGCGCCGTCACGGACGGGAGCGGCGCAGGTTTATCTACTCCACAGTCATTGGCGCTCCGGCCAACCAGAGGGGAGAGATTGCAGACTCCTACAGATTCGAACGAGCCGTTAGCACTCTAGAGAAAGACAGTTGTTAAGTCGTGCCTCTCCACGGGGTGCTGGAGTAATTTCCAGTTTAGTGTCTCTAAAAAGGCACTACAGATCATCCCTAAAGGTACCAAAAAATTTACAAAAAGACACTAAACCTTTAGCACTTGTAAAAGGTAAGACTTATCACTTTTGTTTTTCGAGTGTCTTAGCAACAGACAGTCGGACGCTCCATAGGAGTCCTAAACAACTTCGCGCGGTTGGAGGAAAGGAATCTCCTTACCATATCCAGTTGGTTGACAGTGCCTCACTCTCGGATTTGTAACACGCGTCAGCTCCCATTTTGTTTTGTAAATAGGAACTTTCCTTCCACATTCCACGTGCTGCGTACTGTTAAGCCGGGTGGAATGATTTGGGGCTGGGCCGCCACGGCGGACACGCAGGGCCTCTCCCGGCCCGCTAGGCCCCCAGCCCCTCCTCCTCGACGGAGCGCGGAAGTTAATTTTATTGCTGGGTTTATAGGACGTCCTCACCCAGCAATGTCCGAAATAAAATCAGAATCGCGATGTAAAAAAAAGAAGAAGATTGAAAACGAAGGGAGGTCAGCACATCGACTAATACAATATTAAGAAAAAGGAAATGAACCAGGAACGAGCGTGGTAAATGCTGACATGGTGAATTACCATACCCGACCATACCACAACAAATAAATAATAAATACGACAGCACTTTTCATCTTCGAGAAATTAGGAGGAAAAGAAACCAACCGGGAATGAGCGCGGTAAATGCTGAAATGGTGAAATACCGCCACAACAAAATTATAAATGCGTCAAACACTTGTAATTTCCAACTTTCCAACGTCTACGAACGAAACGCATTCTTGTTTGTGGCGGTGTCCCGTTCCGGCGGCCTTGAGTGCCCTTTATAATGCCGCACAGGATTCGGACGCCCACGCCACGAGCCATCAGCGGGAGGGGGTGCTTCAGGTTCTGCCAGCCCCCCTCCCCCCCGCCCGGCGTGTCCCCTTCGCGCACCATCCCGTCACGCCTGGAGTCACGCTTGCCGTCACGCCCCACCACGCCCCACCACGCCCCGTCAAGCCCACGCCCTTCGAAGGCTGTCCTGTCCCAGCCCGGCTGGTAAACATGACGGTGAAGTGTTAATATGTAAAACAATTACTACCGGGAAGAGAGAGATATATAAAAAATTTAAGCGAGGGGTGGAAAATTCAACAGGGGAACTAATTGAAACGCACGTACCTGTCGACACTGATGCAGACGAGGACGTAGCTCGATAGGTAGAGGCCGAATATCCTGTAGAAGGACATGATCCTGCACAAGGCGTCACCTCCGCGCCAGTCCACGGTGTAGTTCCACGCGATCTCCAGGGGCATCATCAGGAAGGTGACCTGCAAGCAAAGGACGCGTATCCGTGAGAGAGAGAGAGAGAGAGAGAGAGAGAGAGAGAGAGAGAGAAGGCCACACAGAGCTGACTCAATCTGACGCGC